AATCCGTCGGTAAAGATTAGGTTGTTCAAAATGGTTTTGCAGATTACTTTTGCAAATTAGAACGAGAAATGCTAATCTGCTTGTGTGCTCTCGGAAATATTTTTTTGGTTGCCCTCCACCCCTTCCCCCCCCCCCCCCACCACGCCTTCTTCCACCCAATCATTCTTTTTTTCTTACACTCAAACTTACTGGCTAGGTATGGGCACTGCTATACTTTAGGTTGCGTAGTGCCTAGCGCAAACATTGTATACCAGGAATAATAATCACAACAAATCCGTCCATACTAAACCGTAGTGTCGCATGGGAGGTACCGCACAGCCAAAGAGCACCCAAGGCTCTCAAGTCCGGAATAACATTTTTGCCGCTGTGCGCCGATTTTAAAAAGATCAGAACATAAGTCACGTGGCGTTTACCAGAAGAAACTAGTAAAATTTAGCCTCTAAATATTCCGTAAGACTTGTAAAATCATTTCTTTTTGACAACAGCTACTCCTGGAAAAGTGTGATTTTCCCGCCTAGAATGTTCGCGCCAAATTACGCTCGCCCCGGGCTAGCTCGACACGTGCCAATTTTGTGTTGAAATTTTTCAGTAATGTACTTAACTATATCAAAATAACATATTTATTCCCTACCTGCTCGCCCCAAAAGTAACTGTATCTCGTCCTTTAGATTTTTATCCACCACTTTCAGTCCTCTTAAATGGGGTTTGATGTTTCTGGAACACTGCTTTAACGTCAAGGACTCGCTTGATGCAATAGTTACTCCACAAGCCACCCCGTTAACAAATTTAGCATACCCACATCTGACCATATTTCTGTTAAGGAATAAACTTGATTAAACATACATTTCACTTGGCTCGTAGTTAATCTCACACGGTTAATGAAAACCCCCGTAAGTGAAATTTCACCGTAACCGGTGGCAGCACTTCCTCGTTGAAAAAGATGACTTGTGATTTTCTGGAATTCCAGGTTGATATAAAATAACCGGATTTGTCGAAAATTAAGGGAAATTGAATGTCATTGTTAGAGAAAAAAACAATAACTTACCTTCTTTCCAAACTGAAAGCACGGGAAGAACTGACAGCCCACGAAGACGTTGACATCTGATAAAGGATGTTCGTTCCTGCTTGCGTTCCAGCGTGCATTTCTTTCTCCCAAGATATTGTTTCGTCGTGCGCAAAAACTTACGGACTTTCATACAGTGCTGATGCTACCATCATGTAAGTTGACTTAATAAGCTGGTTTTTTTTTAAATCTCATACCACTTAGTAGAATCCTTTTCACTGATTACGCTTTAAGTCCAGTGGCGGGAAAAATATACTAGAAGGGGAAGAGCCGCTTTAGAAAATTGTTCCTCGTACCGAACACTGAGCAGGAATTTGCATAAAGCCGTATTTAGACATTGTCGAGTCTAGTTAGCGTTTGCTAAAATTTTGTAAAGGTTGTTACCTTTATTTGCAGACGAAATTGGTTGTTATATGTATTTGACTGCAAACAGTATGATATAGTGGGAAATAATGTTGAACTAGTGCGGACATGATGTGACAAATTGAAGCATGACATGACTGCGTGTGTGAGTGAATCAAACGTGTGTAATATTTATATTCGCAAAATACAGACGCAAAATCGGGAAAGACTCACCATTCTTTTCCATAAAAAGTGAAGTGTTATTTAGCGTTAGATAATAACCTGGACGAGGTAAGATTCATTAAAGAAGTTTTCGAGCAAGATTCACCGATTTGCTTTGTTAATGTCACTGAGGGCAAACTCGGGCAATAGCCGGGCTGAAATCATTGCACATTGATGTTAACATATTTCTTCTCCATGGCATTTGCCCAATTTTTTTATTCATCGGTCTAACTTGCCTATAAACAAACTCCATTCAGGTAAGGTGGTTTGTTCTAATTCGATGTGGCATGGGTGATATATATTTTTCAATTTCTACTAAATTTGCCTGCATTCCGAGTACGGAAAATATGTAGTAAGACAATTCAACCGTTCCAAGCTCATGCTGAACCGTTTTCAATTAAATGTACGTAAATACAAAGTTAAAGCATAGTTCTTTTTAGCTGTACGAGAAATGGACAATTCATTTCTATGCCACGGTCGAAATAAATGCTTTAAAAACTCCCTAAATCGGCCAATATGGCGCCCTCCGGAAGCCCAGTCAAACCGTCATTTCTGTATCTTCCAAAGGAAAGAGAATTCAAACCAAAGAATATGCATTCAGTATTTAGGGCACCATTCTAAGACTTCATGCCAAAAATCAGCCAAATCTATGAGATGCCGTGTCAGGCGAAAGTTCGAATCTTACAGAAAATCACTCTTAACTCCTCAGATATAAACATATTTATAAATAATTCTCTCTTCACACGTGTGCAGGAGGACAAATTTCTTGGGATCATCATTCATGAAAATGTATCTTAGAAACCACATATCTCTGCTGTCTGTGATAGTCTCTAAAGTAATAGGAGTCTTACGCAAGTCAAGGCGATACTTACCATTGAATACTTTGAAAACTTTATATAATTCTCTTTTCTTACCTTACAACAATTATTGCAGTTTAATATGGGCATCTACTTATGCTTCTTACCTTAAACCCCTTTATGTTAGTTAGATGTTAAAGTTAGATTCTATATGGCATTCTCTTTTATCATAGACTTAACTCTAATCTAATGTAATTTGAATCGAGCGTTTTGTTTTATATTAAATGGCGTTGCTATTTGATTTTGATTTGCTGTACACTATGTTTTGCATTTTTAGCTGCCTAAAAAGGAAATAATGCCGTGGAAACTGAGTGGCAGTTCTCTGCCACTATAGAGGTCAGCCTCCCAGAAGTGACAACAGATGGGAAAACAAAATTTCATGAGCTGAACAATAGTTTTGATTTTAATCACATAAATGCATGCCAGTAAGTGAGTTCAAACATGTGGACTCACATCAAATTCAAGACATGTGTCCTTCTTAAGAGGACTGACTTTTCTCCAGAGGACTGAAAGATCTTTGAAGCTTTTAAGTATATCGTTATATATTTCAAATGTCATAATCCATAATTTATCTACATTATAGTGTGTCAACATGTGCTCATTTCATTTTCTTCAACTGCAACAATGTAATTATTAGTGAAAGCAATTTCAAAAATTTAAAACATGTCCACGGCTGTAACCA